TTGGTTGAAAATAGTCAGAAAACTTGTTGTTAACGATTGCACCAGTCAAAAACGAGCTGGCTGGTTTGTGATTTCTGTGAGAACAGACTTAACATAATCTCCAAGAATTACTAAATTTACCTATTTCTGCTTGTTTAAATCATTTACTCGAATCTTTCTAGTAATAATATTTATACTTTCAATAAACAAATGTATAGTTTTCCATCGAGGTCGTATCAATAACTTTAAAGCCCCTAGTGTTAGAAGCTTGTGTATCATAAAAGTCGACTGATTATTGTTTTTCACAAATTTTTGCGAACATTTTCATTAACAAACTTGTAAAAGCTTCTTGAAACTTGAATGTATACCTTTTTAGCACACCCACCTGGTTCATGTTTTTTTTCAGGAACAAATTTTATTTTCTAAATCTATTTACTCTGGCAACGATTTTGAATGGGAACAAACGTCAGACTACTAAAAATCAATCGAGGACTTTTAAAAATAAATCGAAAATTTGCAAGGTATTTTAAGTGGGCGGATGGATGTGCACGGGCTATTTATTTACTAAGCCTTTTAATTCAAGTTTTGAAAAGATTAAAAGTCAATTAACACATTGCATGCCACGTGATGTTTCCATTCAGGCCACGTCGGACATACAGGATGACAATTTGAAAAGAAGAAATCGAGAATATCTCTTAGACAAAAAAATACTATCAGGAAGATCTTTAATACGTATATCGAGGGATTCGAAGGGGAAACAAAAAGAAGCACTTTTTGAGTCACCCCAACATATTGTTTTTCAAATAAGAACCTACCTTGTGTTCTACATCTTTGGATAGCTCGTTGCTTTCCCTTCACAGTCTTATAGCAAAATCTTAAATAGTACGATTAGTTTTCGAGATATGGGTGTTTAAAAATTAAAAGTAAGCACATTTTGAAAACTAGTAATTTTTCCTATTTTTGAGTAGTAGTAGTAGTAGTAGTTAGTAGTACTCTACTTAACTGAACTCTCTATCGTCTATTGAACAAAATGTCGACCATCTTTGAATCGCAATATCCCGGAAACTTCGCAAGTTACAAAAACCAATTTTGCAGGCTTATAGGGAATTTAATAACTCTTTTTAATGATGCATAATTGTAGGCAATTTTGTCAAATATCATTGAAGATATGAGCAATTATTCATGAGCATGTCAAGATTCCAAAAAATGTCCAGAGCCAAAAATTAGACTTCCTTTTTGGATATTTTTTCTCATCGAAATTTTCAAATGTAACTGATTTTAGAGTTGTTTCTGACTAATTTTCACTCGCTCTATCGATTTAAGACGGCAAAAAGGCCAAGTTAAAACGTCGAAAATACTTCCAAGATTGGAGAATAATTCAAGGTTTATACTTTAAATAAAATTAGGTATCAAAATATGTTGATATTAGGTACCTACCGATAACAGATAACAACACTAAATTGTCAATATTTGAAACACAACTATTAATAAACTATTGAGAAACTGATGCGACATAATAAGGAAGGACGTTAGTAAGACGTCGCTAAGACTGTCGTCGGCTGGACGTCCAAATCATAATGTCTTCAATACGACGTTCTATTTTGGACAAAAGTCGTATGAGACCAAAGTGGGCTAAAATTGAATGTCCTTTTGACGACACACTGGTCATTGTGGTAAGCTGGGGTCTCTCCAAACAGTGAAAATTCAAAAGATACTTAAGCCTACTTATCTACTCAATTTTCCCTAAATTTCTGCTTTCCAATTCTCAAATTTTTCTGTCTAAATGTTTGTCTATTCCCGGCTCTTGAATTGTTTTCTTCGGAATACCTCCAAACACAGAAAATTCAAAAGTTTGAAATAGGAAATAATAGCCTACTCATTATGTTTCCTCTATTAGAAGTGTTCCAGTCTCAGAAGGGAAAAGGTCATGATAGTTAAGGTCATTACAGCCTTTCTAGGTTTTTCCTCATTCATCTGCCTCGCGACCTGGTGCCTTCCTAGCTTTCAGGCCTCTGGATTTCCTGGGGATTGACCTTATCCCTGGTTGATGCAGTTTATCGGCAAATTGATCAATCTCATCCTCATGTGGAAGCTCATTTAGGCAATCTTTCCGCTCTAATCTCTATCTGGGAAAGCGTACATTTTTACTTTATATCAGAGAATACCTAGGCAAATCTATTAAATCTGTGAAATAGTCGAATGATGGTTTTCTTTTCCATATATATACCAGTACATATTATCTGATGCATAATAAGTATACAGTGGGTACCTACAAAAAATGATAATTGTTTTGCACTAAGTAGTTTCGGCAATTTCTGCCACTCGAATAATGATCATTCTCAAAAGGTTTTTCATCACATTTTCGAAACAATCTGGAATTGGTATTTTGTGCATTTCAGTGTGCATTTTCAAGTAAAGATGGAAGGATTTGTTTATCTTAATATTATTATACCTAATTGATGAATCATCACTGAAGTAAGAAAAAAAGGGACCAGGGTAACCAAGGTGAACAAGCTATTGTACCTTTTTCTTATCTATTTTTATATTCGTCGTTCGGCAGTAGACTATTGTAGAGGAATAATTAAAAAATAATAATTACCTAAGCTATGATCCTAACTGCCCTTCAAATTAGAATTTTGGTAAGCTACTTCTAGTTGAGCATGTTTGGTATTAGACTTTAAGCATTTGGCTGTAGATGTTCTCAGTAACATCCTCTTAACAATTGAAGTTGCGTTTCACTAATATCCAGGGCAACAAATCATGGTCTGATTATTTCTTTTTGGTAATTGGTGTCCCCCGGGGAAGGCGTTTGCTGTTGGGTGTCAGCTGCACAACGTGGTTTCAAGTGAATTCAGCCTAATGAGACTTTAATAGAATAGCTGAATCCTCTTCAACTTTGCCAGGCAAAATTGTTTTCTTGTTTTCCCAATGAAGAGTCAAGTGATCATGTTCTACAGGGTGTTCCGAAATTAATGCACCAAATTTTTATAGCATATTCTACGTCGAAAATAAGCCCTTGTTACCTATATAAACATATGTCCGGAAACGCTTCCTTTCCGAGATACAGGGTGTTGAAATTCTAAGAAAAAAACTATTTTTTATCATAATTCATACCACTTTGAAATTTTGTACACTGCGTCCAAGCAGCAAAACACATTTTCTGATGTGAAATATTTAAAAAAAAAATACCAGTGACGTCACAAAACTAATTTGAAACTTTAGGTGTTTAATGTTTAACATTTTTATAACAATTTTGGCGATTTCGCCATGAATCAAAATGGTTTTTTATTTTTTTACTTTAAAGCGGTGCATCTTTCGGAATCAAAATTGTTCCAAATTGAATGGGGATTTCAAAAATGATTTTTATTTTAGGAAAAAGCAGTGACGCACCATTTTTTTCTTTAAAAATATTTCTTACAAATCTGGTAGGACGCCTCTGGTAATTTTTAAAAAAATATTCTTACATCAAAAAATGTCTTTCGCTGCTTGAAAGCAGTGTATAAAATTTCAATGAAATATCTAGAGTGGTTTGAAACTTATGATAAAAACATAGTTTTTTTCTTAGAATTTCAACACCCGGTATCTCGGAAAGCAAGCGTTTCCGGACATATGTTTATATAGGTAACTGGGGTTTATTTTCGACGTAAAATATGCCATAACAATTTGGTGCATTAATTTCGGAACACCCTGTATATTGTAGCTGGAATGAAATGGTCACGCCTCTAAAGAGGAATAAAAAACCTTTCAAAATTTCAAAATCATCACGGTGGCAAGCCTCCAAGACAGGAGGGGTAGGGGTTAGGTAATAATTACATTTGGTTTCTCCGATGTGTATTTGACACTTTTATGACAGATGTCTTTTGTCTAAGAGATAAGTAGTCAAAATTACTAGGTAGTTTCGAAAATATGCTTATTTTAAAACACTGATATGTCAAAAACTATCCAACGATGTGCAACACAAGATAGGTTCGTATTTGGAAAAAATAAGTTAGGGAAGCTTACCCCTAACAGGTGAAGCGGGGTGAATCAAAAAGTGCCTCATTATGGTTCCCCCTCCAATCCTCCGATACGTACCTATTTGAGATCTTGAATAATAATAAAAATAATATTGTTCTTATGCTCTAAGAACACCGTCTTCTTGTAGGTTTACGGTATAATCGTTTTAGTATTATGCAAAGAAAAATATCTATTTCTCAGTCATAAGCAAAAAAAAATACAAAATTCTAAAAAAGTAAAGTAAAACATTCATATGCAAATCTATTTAGATTATTTTAGATAGATAGGTATATAGAAACAACAGAAAAAAATCGTCGGGCATATTTGACTGACGTGGCCTCCTCCATGAAAATAACCTGGGGGGTCACGTCAGTCATATATGACTGATATAGAAAAAATGGCGGGGAAAGCTAAAAACAAACAAAAAAATACTATAAACAATATAATCTATCATTTCAACACTTCTCAATAAAAATTAAGAGAAAAACATGCGGGGCCTGGTGGGACATTTTCCCAATATACACGTGGCATGCAATTAAAGGAAATTAATTGACTTTTGAACCATTGTGCATACAGTGTGGTTATTTAAGTGTGCAATATATGGGGATTTTTTTTAGTAATGGCACAACCCAAATACAAACAAGGCCAAAAGCTGGTGCATGTCAGATGTCTGATAATCATGTTAGGTGCACTTAAAATGGTTGCAAGTCAAACAGCATACAGAGGGTAGCTCAAAGAATATCGAAATTTGTTGTAAAGTACCCTTATTTTAGAAAATTCCGCGAAATGTTAATGAGAAAAGTTGTTTGAAATTAAAGGTTATGCCTAAATACCAAAACATGGACTCCTAAGATTTTTTTAAATTTTTCTCGAAAAATATTAATAATTTCTATATTATTCTTATTTATTTTTTCCGCCCTTAATACTTTCAAAAATTAATTAAAATCGAATCAGTCAACATAATTTTGTTCAAATTTAAGCATATTTGTGAAATTGACTTAGATTTTTAATTTTTTATGGAATCACAATCACAAAGTTCATGTTTGTTGCAATGATATTCAATACAACTTTAAAATGTCGCAATTTTTTTTAAACAAGTTAAAACACTACTAATGATAATATGCATAGTGAAAAAACTCTCCTTGAAGTGCGAAAGTTTTATTTTATTTAAGTAAAAAACCCCACATGTTGCACGTTGCACACTTAAATAACCACATTGTATGGTATTATGTTGTATCCATAGTGAATGAAATATAGAGGTTTTTGCTTTGTCCCACCTTTCTCTATTCTCCATTCGAATGCCAATAATAACATCGGATCAATACCTGTGCCCTAGAAAGAAGAATTATAAAATCGATCTCTTGTCCTATCCTTGCCCTTATTTCCTCAATTATTGTCCATTCTAAAAAAAAATCTCTCATCAACTTTAATATTAATTCTTCATTCAAAGCTGTGCGAGTAAGAGTATACGCAACTTCATACCAAAATAGATTTTGGCACGGTTCCGCTTTATTCCCGAAAAATTACAAGTCAGTTCCTAACCTGACTGATCGCGTTTTGCAACCCGAAAAAAAAATATATTTCGGGAAAAAGTTATGAAAAGAATCATAGTCATAGTGAATAGTGATTTCAGCTAAAAATGTTTTCAAGTCAATCTAGGTGATGAGTTTGTGTTATGTTAATTTAATTTTCAGTTTAATTACTACTACTTTTTAAATTTCAAAAATTACCTATAAAAATGAAAGTGAATAATTATTTTTCATGAAATACATATTAAATATTCAAGAAATAGTTTATTGTTGGTCCAATAAATAAAAAAAAAATACATTTGTTTATCTGTGATGCATTACAGAAACATTATACAAGTTGAAAAATATGCAACTGCTGTCAGAAGCAATTACACAACTTTGAAATTTCAAAATTTACTCACCTGCACTGTTTATTATGAATCAGCTGTGATATAGGCTAAAAACTATTTGATTGTTGTCTCCTACAACACATGAATGAATCTATATTTAGTTTTGAAAATAAATTTGTGTAAACATAAAGAAAATTAGCTTTTGATTGTTAGAATCCTGTATTCTTATTTAACTATTCACTTTCATCATTCTTAAAGTTTATCCATCAATGGACAAAATAAAAGTGCGCGATTTAATAAAAATAAAGTTATGAAAAATCCGAGTATTGAATCAAAAATTATCCGATCGAGTGTATCCGAAATGGCACTGAACGGCATAGGGCCGTCAAAATTTTCAACTCAAGTACGTAAAAGCTCTCTTCCCAGGAATACATTTCGAGGTGTTAAAAAGGAAGAACTTCAAAGACAAACCAGCATGTATTTGGCATCTATGACTGTAAGTTTTAATTGGAAAATTCAAAAGCTTTAAATCAAAAAATTTACTTTGAAGTTATCTATGCATGTATTTTATCATAAATGTGAATAATTATTGTCAAAAAATCCAGTGGAGCCCAAAAACATTATAACTAACGGGAAATTTTTAAATAATACATGAAACATTTATAACGTGATAGAATGAAAATTTAGCTTCACGAGACATTTGTAATTTTTTGCAGTACAAAAATAAGTGACCTTTAACTTGAGCGAAATAGAAAATACATTATGTAAATTATAGACTCACTACAGACAATCGGTAGCTATTTTTGTAATATGTAAAATAATTGTTTATTTATTTTTACTTTTTGTTTATACACATGAGTTAAGAAACCGAGGGTTGGTTTTTAAAAAATGACTTTATTAACAATCTGTAATTATTACTATAGCGAAAGCACCTTACAATAAATGTTACAATTACATATAATTAATTTCAACTGACTGTCTGTCCTAGGAAAATACATATATTTATAATAAACTGAAAAGCAGAATAAGCAGTTTAAATGAGGACTCAGCAAATAGACGTAATATAACTCCTCCCTTCTTAGCTTCAACTTCCACACTAGCGGGGGAGTTAAATATTCCGGTTTTCTTCTGGAACGGGGGTTGACTTCTTCTTCATGACGGCTTTTACATATTTCATGTAAACTAAGAAGATACAGGTGATAACGATGAGGACATAATATGTCCTCATCGTATGGAACAATCCTTATTTAATATTATTAAATAAGGATTGTTCCAAGGCTGGGCATTCTATTGATTTTGGTGAAACTCAGTTGTAGACGTATCTCCATGACTTCTTTGCTCAATTGGTGAAGGTCGTTTAATTTCAGATATTTTAGATGTGGACTTAAGTTGAGGGTCGGCATTATGGCGAGTGTATTTGGTATGTCAGGAAACAGTATCGGTTGAATATCGGTCTTGATTATCCTATTTTTCTTGAAAGCACTTGAGTTGGATGGCTTTTTTGACAGGAACAACCAATACCCATTGATTGGAATCGTCCAATCGATTGGGACTTTAACTTCGGTTTGTTCACAGATGGAGGTAGTTTTGTCAGAGTGCGGAGTAGTTTAATTTCGCATGTGCTGTCTTCTTGGATTTCGTGAATGTCTTCTTTTCCACAAATATGGAACTTCGGAATGATTTCTTGACATTCTTGGCCATAGTATGTGTAGTGCAATTTATTATTTTTCAGCAAAAATTTATTTCGCGGTAAGACAACACTAAACTGACTCTGAGAAAGGATTGGAACCAAGTATAAATGAAAGTAATCAAAAATTTCCGAATACATTATTGGTATATGATCAGGTATGTTATTCTATTATTAAAAACAAAAGATTCCAGTTCGATTATTTGCACAATTATTTGTTCAAAAAGTGGAGTATTTTCCAAAGTGACCGCTAGGGGCATTTGTTCAGAACTTAAACGCTGTTGAAGTTTGTTCAATTCATGATAAAGGTCTTCAGTTTTTATTATACTTGGATGCATAATTTTCAATTTTGAAAAAGTTAAGGACTTTTCTATATCTTGTAAAATAGAGTCAATCATCTCATAGATATTGACTATTTGATTTATTATGTCTTTGATATAGAGGGAATTTTCTCTTTATGCTGCCTTCTGTACCATGTGTGCAATTTGGTTCTAGAAGTTTTTCGTTGTGATCTATTTGTTTAATAGTTTGGTTAAATTTTTCGATTACTGTTAGAGAAAGCGAGTTTTGTTTCAGAACATTTTCTTGTAAACTATTTTGATTGTTTTGTAATTCCCTAATAATGTGCTCCTAACATTCTACTCGATGCGTTTAGGTTTCCAGTTACAGATTTGAATATTGAGCCTAAGCCGTTAATTAATCCTCTTTTGATTCTTTGTGGCTGAGGAATAATTTCTGATATTTTTGTATCAATTCTATTCTGTGTTATTTTTAACAAATTTGTGTAATGTCTTCAGAATAGGCTTGATGTCCATTAAGAATGTTTGTAATATTATTAGATTTTATGTGAAGTTTATTTATTTCACATATTATTGGGTTCAAGTCATAATCACTGGCGTAACTAGCCATCTGACCTGGGGGGGGGCCTAGGGTGGGCCTGGCAGAGGCGCCGATTTTTGAAAGTCCTCATAGGTGCAGGATTATATTTTTATTTTTATAAATTTATTTATAGGCGCCGGTGGAAGCGAAATTTTTTTTCCGGATGCCACGTCAAAAAACGTCTATTTTTTCTACGAGCGTGCGAAAAGTGCTTTTTTCTGCACGCATTTTAGGCCATGAAAATATCACTTTTCTGCACTAGTGCGTAAAAGTAAAATAATTATGCAATGTAAGGGTTACCCTGGTACTGTTATGTCCTAAAATGCCTCATTTCCCGATTATCATCGAAGAATAGAGATGGAGAATAGTAACATTAGCAATATAAAGTAATAGAGCATATAATTGACTACAAATAACGAAAGGACAGAATACTAATACCTCCCTAATCTAAGACTAATACCACAGCCACTTGTATAATTCTTATACAAAGTTGTGTAAATATAAATTACATGATACTGATACTACCACACGGGCAATTAAATACGTTCGTACATCCGCATTCCCCACGAGAGCTCCGAGCACCCATGAGAGGTTGCTCATCGGAGCACGGAGCACCTGTTCCAATGCCCCCATGTAGTTGGCGCCAGTGGCCTGAGGGCCTGTTATTGTGACTTATTGGAATCCTTAAAAAAGAAGAACAGGGCATTGTAGACAATTAGCTGGCTAAACCGGGCGTAAATCATTTACCTAGCTAACCCAGCTTATCAGCCACTGTATAGTATAATATCAGCAACAACGATTCACGGATTCACAGGAAAAATATTTAGTCAAACTCCCAAACTAATCTGTTATATTGCTAATACTAATTTAATGGCTTTGCTTTGGTATATCTGTATCACTTCTGCACATTGCAATTTGCACTGACCTTGTGGTGGCACAATGGCACACAGCACCGTTCGTTGGTGGATCGGAGGATCGGATAGGATCGATCGGGATCGCCGCGCATTACCGTTCAAATTTAGTAGGTGATTGATAACATAAAATTATAATAGGTAACGTAGCTTTCATAAAATACCAAATTATTAAAGTTTTTTCTGGGGGGGGCCTAGCGACGTCTGAGGGGGGCCCGGCCCCTCTAGGCACCCCTGTAGTTACGCCACTGGTCATAATAGTGTATCATGTTGTAGGTGTAATCTTTGATTTTCGCGTACTCTAATTTGACTGGAATTATGCCGGGATCCAATTTTCTGATGATTATTTGTTCTTGAGTTCCAAGCACGCAGGCAAAAAAGCTGAAATATAAAGCTTAGTGTTATTTTGGTGTTATAAAGCTAAACAAGCGTACGATTAAAACTAGGTGTCAAAACTATATTTATTTCTTAGGGGACGTTTAATGTTACCCATGTGAAGTTTTCCGTCTGAGGTCGTTGCCATTGTTTTGCGTACTGGGTCAACGGTTTCAACTTGTGTTTGAGGTTTAAACTTATCGGCTAGTTTTTGACGTGTATGTTTTTTGATGTATATTTTTTGTTCTGGGTGGAATAATGTTGGTTTATCGGAAGTTTCATTAATCTTTCCTATAATTTTTTCTTTCCGATTTATAGGTTTTTCATTGATGGTTGAATATAAGAGTTTGGACTTATTTTTATGTTCTGTAACATAATCTGTCAATAAAAGGTCTAATTTAAGGCAGTGGCGGCTCGTGGTATAACATATTGGGGGTGCACATAATTTGTAATTCATAATAAATGCCGAAAGGGGGATGCCCGCCGCCGGAGGCGCGAAATTTTTCGGGGTGCCACGCCCAGAAGTGTTTATTTTAGGCCTTTAAAAAAATAATTTATTGTAAGTGATCGTATGAGTTATGTGATGTGTTTACCTACCAATAATTAAAAATATTGTTAAGGGATTTCATATCTACCCTACCAAACAACCAACTAAGCTCAATTTAATACTTTTTTCGGTCTATCAAATCGTGGAAATTGAAGGATCTTATATCAATAAACTAGAAATTAAGTAACAAAGTAACTTACCTCGCTGAGTACATCGTCCTGGTCTAACAATTGTTTTTATACATAAATGTATTATAGTTTTCAATCTCACAGACACGTTTTGTATTGAAAGATAAGAGTAAGATGTGATTTTGAGTTTTGATGTTTTTTAATTTTTTCGGATAAATGTACTAAATCTTTAACGCCGGATTTTGTCCATTCTGATGCTTCATCGCTTCCAAATAACAAACAGGGAAAACAGTAAAGACTATTACTAACATCACAACCGCACAACCAGTCAGTTTTTTCGTAAGTTTCCATTTTAAAAGTTCGTTTATAATCACGACTTTTGCATTTTGTTATGTTGGTGATTATTAAATTTGGCTTTGGACGGCCGACACATTTGATTTGGATTTTTTCCTCCAAAGAAAGCGAAGAAAATTTAATTGTTTTTAAATATTACACGCTAAGGCTATCGGGGTTCAGAAATCCCGCCATTCTACACACAGTTTTCAGTTAAATCGCGCTCGAAATCGAAATAAATATAAAACAACCGCTTGCGATCCCAACCAAAGTGCACTGACTACATGTGCACACCAGCCAGCTTAAAACATCGAACGTCGCTGGACCTTCGCGGGGAACAAAGAGTGCGGGGGGGCATAGTTCCACCAATTGGATTTAATATTGAAATGTGCAGTGAACGGGGCGATCAGTCGACGCGGTGGACGCTGTGATTCCAGCGTTGCCGGTTGCGTTTGTTTTGCTGGCGCATTTGGCCACTAATTTTTTAAATTAATACTTTACAGGTAGAATATTAAAATTTGAAGAATGATAAAATTAAATTTAAAGTTGTTTGATATTAATTTGGGAGTGCACGTGCACATGTGCTCTTATGGAGGAACCGCCACTGATTTAAGGTCGAATCGATCATTTGGGCTT